TATCCCCTACTCCCCATGTTTTGAGGGTCAAAAATTCGTATTCGCTTAAAAATTTATGTCTATTCAGAAAAAGTATGTTCTTTTGTCTCATTTCGTAACTTAAAATGCAGTGTACTCAAATTTTTAGCATAAAGCTAATCTCTCGAATCATTAATAATGCATCTTAGGAAGTAAAGTCCGATAAATTGATCAAATGTTATTAAGTGTTACCATTTTCTGCTTATTGTGTGCACATTACAATAATTACCTTCCTTTGTATTATATTTATTATCAAACCAAAATCAAGCATTATTTGAAATGTTTTAGTGTTTCACCCGCCCTCCGCCATTTTCTCTATAAATGACTATTAAAAATAAGAAGAAATTATGACAGAAACTTAACTTACAAGAAAACGAATTTAATAAAAACCTTTCCTTCAGGTAACTCTTTATTTTCAGATTTTCGCCTATAATTAAAAGATAAAAGAAAATTAATATCATTTTAAATTTATGAAACAATATAAAGTAAGTATATGCATATAAAAACCAACGCAAGTGCTCGTGCACTTAAAACTTTCAACAATATAGGGCTCTATTCATTTATTAAAAAGAATGTTTAGAAATTATTATTTAATAATAAGATCCTTAATATATTCCTAACATAACTGCATGGAATATTTTAAAAACAAAGCAAAACTTTATTTCCCTTCTGAAATATTCATTTTAAATAATGAATAGAGCAATATTTTATTGAAAATAAGTGTACAAACACTTTCGTGTGCCACTGTAGTTACAGTTAAGGGTAAATAAAATTTAAAATGCATATATTTGCACTTATTTTTAGTATAACAACAGTTTTTCTATATTTTGTATTACCCATTGTAAAATGTGTCTAGTTTGGGGTTTGATGGCTTGCGCATCTTATTTGGATGTCATCGCACTTTTCAACTGTGCTCAAGAATAATAGTAAACAGTGCGCATGCGTTGCTATGGTGACCGCTGTTGTTTGATAATTTTTTTGATTTCTTTTCTTCACTTTTAATTTTGTTAGCCATTAAGTTAGTGAGTTTATTTTTGAGATATGGGACCAGAGAGATCCCATAAAAATTTCTTGAGTTGCGAATGAAACAGAATTTCATCATTTGAACGATATTTTTGTTTTTATTGTTTTAATTAAGAATCAGAAATTCTAACCTAGAATTCAAACTGGATCGTCTTTAATACTAATTCAAGTGAATATCACAAATACAGAGGGTTCCAAACTGATTGACACTGTCCCCAAGGTTAGAGTTGAAGCAAGAAAAAAACGATGCCAAGGCTTAAACTTACTGAGGCTGAAAAAGTCAAAGAGCGTAGACGGGAATACCTTAAGGGTAACAAACAAACGGAAAAACGAAAGGATTCCGTTCGCAAACGCAATCATGACGCCTGTTCCTCACAAAAGTACCAAAGTGTCTTGACAGAATTGAACCCTATCGAAGAGCGAATGGCTCTCCGAACCCCTTTCATGCAAATACGAGAACTCTATGTTGATCACCAGTTAAGGATAAAAGGATTCATTGTCAACATACCCAATGACTTTCACAAGACCGTGGACTGTCTTCAATGCAATATAAATGATTCATTCACTATTCATGTAAAATTGAAAAAACAAAAAGCTTAGCTTTCCGATCCCATTTCATGTCAGAACTTGTTAATCCGAAACGGGTTTATGATGCAGCTTACAATCTCCTTCAAACCCCCCTGTACCAATCTGAAAATGTTAATATTGATCTCGATTTGCTGTTCAATGTCTGTTCAGTCATCAAAAGAATTTACGCAGAATGTGTTTGAGCTGCATTCAGATATGTCTGAGAAATTATGCAGCGAGCAGCTCAGGATTAACAGTTAAAGCTGTTCGAGCTGAAAACACAATGAAACTGATTTCCGAAAAAATTAGACAACAATCATTTTGACAATGAGTAACCTGGGCCAATGGGTAACCTGGGCCAATGGGTAACCTGGGCCAATGGGCAACCTGACACAATTTTTTTCTTCCTTTGGTTCTGTTTTAATTAATTAATTAATTTATTTATTTTTGAGGTCGACCCCTGTTCAACTCACTTAGGTCTGACGAACCTATCGTTGTGTTATAAATAATTTAAATATAAAAGTATTATGTAAGATTTGCATTCATCTAAGATTAATAATTATCCGTATCTCTTACATTAAATTTAATATGCATTTCGGAAAGCATAGAATTATAGGTTTTCCTTCTGTTAAATTGTTTTGTCGTTAATTTCATTTTAATAACATAGATAAAAGCTGGAAGTACATGACTAAGTAAAATTTGCATAACGGCCCACCAGATTTTCCAGAAGATTTTATTTGCACATTCAATGTGGTACCAAAACTTTTGCATTCTGGATGCTGGATATTGGGGTTATTTCGGCGGTTAGCGCGAAGCGCCACTAACCGATTCATCGTTTTGTCGTATTCTAGGAGGTCCTTAATATCATTGAAGTTGTAGTATGTTGTAACAGCAAATCAAGTCCTTAAGGAAGTAAATCTTGGGTTTAGAAGTGAAAATCATCATTGGGATGGGGAGATCCCCTTGAGTAGAGTTGTGTGATAAAGTTAATAGTATTTTGATAGTATGCAGTCTGAGCATAAAAAGGCGGTAATTGGGCTGAAATTCGAATTATCACGGATTATATCAATATCGAACAACTTATTGAAATCTGATGTGGTGCATGTTTTTGCGTCGCCATGAAATTTTGTGGTCAATTTAGCTATAAAGCAATTGATATCATCAATGTTTAAGTCTTTTCTGAGTAATCTATTGCTAATCGCCCTTGGGGCACCAGTCATTGTGCGTAAAAATTTACCGTCAGTTGTAGATAGCTTCTTTTTTAGGTTGTTGCTTATAGTAGTGAGGGCTGGGCAATCATACGCAAGAATTGGTCGAATCGCTTGTATATAGATAGTTCTTTTATTTATTAGATAAAGCTTTGAATTCTTACTTTTGCATTCCTGCTTGATTTTTGCTTTAATAAATCTGATTTAATAAAATTTCCGGTACCATTATATTTAAATAGTTTAAACGCGAATTAAAAAAACCTGCTAGAAATCCAATTTTCATGTGATGGTAAAATGTCACTTAAACATTTGATTGCGATATCACTTCAATAACAATTTCCCTATCAATTGGAAAATACTTTTTGACGAGCATAAAAGTAACCATGAATGCAATTGGTAACAATTGCAAACTAGTATGCATATATAGATTCCTAAATAATAATAGAAAAACTAGTTGCAAATATTCAGCAGCTTACTTATAAGAGCACTGTTTTCTCTGGGTTGCTCGATTTTTAAAAGAGATCGCTGATCAAATGAGACGCACATCAGTATTAATGTTTCGCACACCGTTCATTTTGAAAAACTATCATTAATGTTTGTGAGAATTGTTCAAAATGATTGCAATTGGTTGAAGATGTTTGCCTTATGTGATGGTAAATAATGAATTAAGCATTTGTTTACAATGCCAATAAATATTTCTCGAATACTTGGAAAATACTTTTATGACGATTGTGAAGGGTGGCAAGTATGCAATTTGTAGTAATTGCAAACTAGTCTGCATTTATAAACTAATACTTTAAGAACTAATTGCTAATATTAAACAGCTTCTCCATAAGAACGCGAATTTCCTTGTGCTACTGAATATTTAAAAGATATTACTGATCAAATGAGACGCACAACAGCAATTATGCGTCGCATTCTTTTTATTTTCTAAAACCATCATTAATGTTTCTGCTAGTTTTTAAAAATGATTGTAATCGATATCTATAGGGTGAAGATGCTTGTTTTCACAAATTTTGTTTTATTAAGGAATCATTAATGCTTCTGAAAATATTTAAAATTGCTTACAGTAGATAGCTATAATTATCTTCAAAAATTTTCAGACACTATACAGTGAAAATATTTTATTTGCGCACTCTTTATTATTTAAAAATAGGGAAATTATAAAAACATTTTAAAAATGTTTACAGTGCATATCTATAGGATGTAAATATTTATTACCAGTCATTTTGATTCATAAGATCATTCGTACAGAAGCAGAATGGTAAAAAACAAAATGTGGCAGCTTAAATCCTTGCATGGATTATTTAACAGAATTTTTTTGCTCTAACTGTAATCACTGTTAGTTCAAATGTAACTATATAATTATTTTATTTTGAATAATTTTGAATAAAGTTGTAGCGCATTAAATAAATCTATTTTAACCCGGTCCACAAATATTGCTTCAGAATTAGTTGGTTACCAGCTTTTACCCTGATAGATTACGTTTCCTGCCGTGACCTAACTGTAACAGTCGCCAACGTAATTGTTAATCTTTTTGAAAATTTCTAAAAAATACTCACAATAGAGGTCCACTGTATTGTATTCTCCATCTTCGCATAGGTGATAAATAATGCATTTGTAAGTTTCCGCAAGAAAATACCAGGCATTTTCCTTCAAAGGGTTGTTGGTAGTTGACGTGTTCAGCCAAATGATAAGTAGTGCCATCAGCCAGTTTCAAATAGATCCAAGCTTCGGCTTCTTGATCGCTGCCTCTTGATATACGAACCAAAACACATTCCGCCTTTGAATTTACTCCATAAAAAAATATTTCATCCGCAGACTAAAAACAAAGGAAATGTAAGAATCCTGGACATTATTAAATATTTTTAAAGAATGAGAGAAAAATTGTTGGATTAACTATTAAGCTAACCACCGAACATACATTTTGTAATAATGAGAATGGGGACTTTATGAGTAAAGTGATAAACTTGTTTTGGTTAAATTTTGTAATTATTGCAATAATTTCACTACGAATCGGATTGAAGAATACAGCAATGGTCCTTGGATATTGTTGGAATCTAGGCCAGTTGGCGCGACGTTTTGCACTGCGAATCGGAATTAGTTCAAGATGTCAGCGTTCTTGATTATTCCATAAAACAACTTACAATACACGAAATAAATTAGTTTCAAGTTCTATTTACAATAATATAAAATACTAGTTTCATCTGTAAAACTCGAAACATTTAAAGATATAAAATGGCATAAATATAAATATATTAATGCTCAAAAATAAATAAATATAAACTCAAAGAACGAACAAAAAATGTAAAACAATCCGTTACTACAGCAACTTAATTTTACGAACTAGATCAAAGTTAAAAATTAAGCAGACGATACTTCTCTACATATTAATCTAATCTAGTTCATTTATAACTAGAACTCATGAAAAATTGAGAGCTTAAAATTTAATAAAAGGTTAAAAGAGAATCTCAAAGCAAGAAATATATTAGCAAGAACTAATAGTCAAAAGCATAGGTTGTAGCACTACGTAGTAAAGATTGAGATAATTGGTATAAAATGATCATGATGACTGAAATCGCCAAGATAGCAAATGCGATGCAAGATATATTAAAATAATTATTTTCAAAATATATTTACAACGATTATATGTAGAATTTCTTTTTAACATTTTCCTTTTAAAATGCTGTATAAACCAGCGTAAAATTAGAATATAACTCGCTTCAGGAAGTGAAAACCAAATTTTGATATAAATGCTTTATAAGATTTCAAAAAGATTTTGATATAAATGCTTTATAAGATTTCATTTTTTGTACCAGTCTTTATTAAACTGGCAAATAATTATTAAATGATTGAGTCTTGTTCTATATTAGTAACATCTAATACTCCTAAAATGAACAAATTTCGAAAGACTAAACTAAATTTGACATTATAATTCACTTGCATTGTACTTTAAAAGATCTTTTTCAGAGACAGTAGTAATTTTAATTTTTTCTCTAAAAATTATTAAACATATTTACAATTCTATATTTATCTGTATTTTATATACGGAAAAGAGAATATAGAGGTAGAAGAACTATTTCAATATTAGATAATATTCGGGAGGAGTTAATCTATTCTCAACAATAACAATTCACTGCAAAGAAGCAATTCAATATAAAAATTGCATCCGTTAAAAAAAATTGCTAGTTATGGATTTTTATTATTCTCGGAAAAAAACTAAAAAAATGAAATTTATTTATTACCAATTTTTACTCTTTTCCGTCTCGATATATATATATATATACTAGGAGGCTTCGCCCCCTGCTCGCTGGCGCTCACCAAACCCCGGAACTGCTTTCACAGTTCATTTCGAAATGCAATAATGAGCAATAATGAAAGTAGAAGTAAAGTTAGTACTGTAAAATTAAAACAATATTTTTAATCAAAGAGCCAAGTTCTTCAAGAAGTAGGTTGTTTATTTAATACCTTTTATAGAATTTCTTTAAGAACGCAATTGTTAATTTGGGTATTTGGCGATACAACACTTTTAGAATTGAATGATTTGTTACGTCAAGCGCTCAGGTATCATAATTTTNATCTTTAAAAGCTTTACATATTTAAGTAATAAATATTCAATGCCCCAAATATGTAATATTTTTTATTTGTAATATTTTTTATGGTTTTATTAGCAGGGTATGGTTGAAATTAATTTAGCCTCATTTCCCGACATACGTCTGTCTTGGTATTTTTATAAATTAGAATTGAAAGAATTTTTTGTACTACTAAGTTTAATTAATTTAAACAATATATAAATTAATATAGTCAGAGGGTTTAATACATTTCGGAAGGATTTAAACTATTATCGTGAGTATTTTATTCTTCACATTTTTCTTGGAGTAACAAAATAGACGCATTCACCATAATTTAATATTAAGATAAATATCTATATTTCGATCTGGAATTAAGTTATTTTAATATTAAGTTATTATAAATTGAATTTTCTTTTCAATACATCAAAATTTAGTTTTTGTTAAACATAAAAGTTTTATTTTTTATATTGGCATAATTAAGCTAATTCGGCTCCTTTTACTACGACTTAAAAAAAAGGTTTTGCAGCTATGTTAGCATTATATGTTAATTGCAATGTTAATGTTAATTGTTAATGTTCATTGCATATGTTAATTGCATTTTCGATCTGAACATGAAATAGCGTTTAAGAAAACTGAGCTATCACTACAGATAAATATGTTAATGAACCAACTGAAATAATATGAAAATAAAATGATGAAAAATAATTAGTAATTTTCATCATTAAACTAAAGCATTACATGCTATTAAACAATTTAAAAGAAAATTGGTAGGCCTAAAAATATTAGTTATATGATTTTAGTTTTTAATGGAATGAAATAAAATAAATAATGATACGTACCAAAGAGTTTGAAGAGTAAAAACACCAATGCTGTAATTAACATGACTATAATATATAACTTCTTTTCATTTTAATAATTTCACTATGTAACAAAATTCGGACCAGTCTACGTTCGAAGTGAACAATAAGTATTCTCTAATTGAAAATGATAAGGAAATCGCCATTTTAGTCAATGTCATTCTCAATAGGCTTCAGAAAAAAGAAGAAATTGAAACTAGTCTGAAGATGAAACGTTTAGTAGCTGTTAAAGTGCAGACAAAAAAACTGATTACCATGAATAACTTTTTGATCTAATGATCACATATTCACGTTCTACGACTTAATCGAAATGGTTCAAAGGGATGATCTCAAATATGCTATTTAATAAGTGCCGAGGACATTTTAAGTTACGAAATCAGACACAAAAAAATACTTTCTTTTAATAAACAGAGCACACTCCTCAAACTATTGGCTCTATATATTTCCCAAATTGCGGTTACCCCTATATTTTGTGGGTCAGTAATCTGAATTCGTTGAAAAAAAGTTATGTTTATTCAGAGAAAGTACGTTTTTGTTTCCGGTTTTGCATTTTTAAATATTGTCTGCACTACGCCTATTTTTGCGCCGACTGTCACAAATCGTTCGTTCGTTCGTTGTTGTAGAACTGGGCATCTGAGCCTAAATGGCGCTTTTCCCAAGAATGTCACAAATACGTGCCAGCATAGAACCGTATAAACCAGGGTAAAAAGATAAAACTGATAATCAAAGTAATTCCTTAGCAGTTTATTTGTGGGTGGAGTTATAATTGTTAGATTTATTTAAATCACCATTACTTGAGCTCAAAATGAAACTATTTAGTTATACTTTGAATTAACATTGATTATACATGTGATTAAACTAACAATAATTAAAGTAAAGGAAAAGTAAGTCTGTCAAATTGGAAACGACTACATTTAAGTTACCGTTTTTTACTTAATAACATCCTGATTCTGATTTTGTACGAATGCTTTTCTGAATCACCCGTCCCCAAGAGGTTAAGAATGAGTCCTAGAACGTGAATTTAAGATTAAAAATTATTCAGGGTGATCAGTTTCTTTTCTCTTTTTTTTTTCTTTCTTCTTTTTTTTCTTTTTTGTTGCCCGCTATGCAGCGACGCCTGATTGAGTAATGCCTACGATAGCGGAAAAAATTTCAAATGGCAGTCTTTTAATGAATGGTGTTTGATACCAAAATTGGATTCACAGGATTTTTACTACCACTACTTCCAAATAACTCGACGGCTTATGTGATACGCAACTTTGATACAGCGCAGTCGTGTTCAGCGTCTTAAAAAATTGCCAAATATGCCGGCTTTTTTTTTTTAAAAAAAATATGGTAGAAATTACATAAATCTCGGTGAGCCACCGCGAAGCGTCTTTAGACGATTCGTCGGTAGTAATAAACCGATGATGAGGATTTTTTTAAATATCATGTAGAATCAGGATGGCATCTCCGCCACAGTATTAATAGTGGTAGTGGAAGTAAAAATATATAAGCAAATGTGTTAAAATTTCAGATCGTAATTTCGATGGCATTGAAATAAATGAATTATTCTAATGTCGTGACATCTAAGATAAACCACAAAAGTTACTAACATTTAGAATGTTTGATGGCACAGAGGCAGAACATATAAATGATCAATAGGAAGGACTTGGATTCTGCTCCCGCTCGCGGTTTGTAGCCCTCACAGGTCCAGATCGGTTGGTACCAATTTCCCTGTAAAGTAAAGGCGGCCTATGTGCAGTGCTGACCTTATTGTTAATATTAGGCAGATTGTTACAAAATTTTCAACATATTACTATTATAAATAATCATTACATTTCTTCAATATTTTACTAATCATTTTTAACTTCATGCATGCGAATACTTTAGATAACAAAACAAGTGAAAAGAAAAATATGATGCGTAAAGTAAAATTTGATTAATATTTCCATTAATAATGAACTACTCGCTTTACATTTTGCCTCTTTAACTTTGTGGTTATGATCTCAGCTTTAAAAACACTTAAACCATGATTTTACTTTTTACAGAATTATTTAATGAATGGTGACTGGTACGCGTTAACCAACTCAGATTACAAAGTCCTCCATGTTTCCATAATAAATCATACCCATGGGGAGTACTGAATTCGAGATGGATCGTTCTCTGGTTCAGATCAAAATTGCGATGTGTGAATGAATGAATGGATGTATAAATGGGCCTGTAAACGGACTGTGGCGTGTGTTTCTGAAGTCGTATTCTTGGTCATAGACGGCGCAACTTAAAATCAAGAAACGCACCCTCTGCCTTAAATTCGCTTGGTTTCGCCAAGCAGGCTTGCTGGCTTTCAGAAGTGTCATTAGAAACAACATGATATTCATCGAATATATTTAAAACATATTACAATATAAAATAACCATAATCATCTTACGTGATCAACTTAAGAAAATAATACACTATTTTGCCCGATCGACATCAACCGACACCCAC